TAACGCCCTTATCCTTTGCAGGGATCCTCCTCGTCTTCCAGTAGACCAGAATGTTGTGCAACTGGTAAGTTTAATTAAAGGCTGTCTTCAAGTGCCAACCGTTTTTCGACAATATAAAAGGAAAATCGAATTAAATGATTTTCAATTTTTGGATGTGGTTTCCAGTCAGATTTCACTTAAATACGCACTTTAAAGTTTTGCATTCCGATTATGTTGGATAATAAAGTTAATATTTGCGGTTCCGTTTCCTGATTGGTTCCCCCGCGCCTAATTGTCATGTAACCGGTGCGCGATGACATGTGTTTTTTTGTAATAAGATACCTACGCTATTCGGGCGCACGTCAGTTACGTGAGCTTTAATGGCTTCCCTAACAGTTTTTACAGCCTAGGGAAACCCTACTGTTGTTTGCGAGTGCAGTACAATTTAGGGAGTAATCGCGCGAGTAATTTAAAAATGGGACGAGCGTGAAGCGCGAGGCCGATTTGAAATTACGAGCGCGATTACTCCCTCAATTGTACGACACGAGGTCCAATTACTAATTAATCGCATCTATAACAAATTTCGGAATTAAAAAATGTCTCACGAGAACTTCTTTTGAGCCAAAACGTCCGTAGCGCGTTTCCTAAGTTTTGAAAACTGAACGAAACAATGCAAAGGAAGCCATTAAAGCGCGCGTAATTGACGTGTAAATGACGTGGGTATCCAATTACAATAAGTTCAAATTGGGCACNATGGGACGAGCGTGAAGCGCGAGGCCGATTTGAAATTACGAGCGCGATTACTCCCTCAATTGTACGACACGAGGTCCAATTACTAATTAATCGCATCTATAACAAATTTCGGAATTAAAAAATGTCTCACGAGAACTTCTTTTGAGCCAAAACGTCAGTAGCGCGTTTCCTAAGTTTTGAAAACTGAACGAAACAATGCAAAGGAAGCCATTAAAGCGCGCGTAATTGACGTGCAAATGACGTGGGTATCCAATTACAATAAGTTCAAATTGGGCACTTGTAATTGGACACCAACTTGATCGCGCGCCGACTACGTAACAAATAGGCTCACGAAGAGCCAATCACGATCGAGAATTTTGTTGTAGAAACGATTAGGGGGGGGGGGGGTGCCCCGAGCTGTAATATAATGGGCGACAAATTACTCCTTAATTTTGGCCCGAAATTTCAGCGATAATTTATAACTACTAGTAATCAGAGATTAGGAGAGTGCGTTCGACGCTCTCACTTTAAGATACATATACCGTAAATAAATGATTTCACTAGCTGACTTTCAACCTTTGTCTATTGTTAAAATCAACATTTTTCAGCAGCAACCGAGGTTTTACAGTCAGATATGCATAGTGTCAAAGTCCATGCTA